CTTATATTGTTTTAAACATCTGGTGATGAATAATTGAACACACACTTGCGCCAAATTTGACTTCTTGAGTGTGTAAACAATCAAGTAAAGCAATAGTGGTGAAAAGACGGTTAATCAAAAGACGAGAAGGCGTTTATTAGGAGGCATTTAAGTGAACATTGACGTTCTTCTTAGAGGTTTCGCCGGCTTATCTCCAGAGACAGATGCGTTCTACGCGCCCGTTAAGGGTGGTCTTTTCAATTTGAGCCGCCAATTTTTCCTCCCTCCCTTCGAATGTAAAATTGCTTATATATACGTCGGTTAGCCTACGTCGCCCATTTTAAACCGATTTGTATCCCTCTTTGTTTATTTGGATTACTATGAGGTCATCAGTGCACGACGCTAACGCCGTTTTAAAAGCAGTCCAATTTGATCTACACTTAACAAATTTTTTAAGAACTTTTATCCACGACGTCGACAATTGCAGTCATTGACGATTATTGATTACTCTTGATTTCCCGATGTTCTGAGTTGGTGTGCCTAATTTTATTCTTTATGAATGGAGGACATTTTTGCTGAACATTTTGGAATGATATTTTCAAAATAAAGCGTATCTCTCTTCCGCCCACAGTTCTCATTCTGTGGCGCTTTTGTCGTTATGGGTAGGCCGTCAATGCCGAACGTAACATTGAATCGGACCGAATGAGAGGATTGTGCTATTCAACATCACTTCATTCTTCACGTCCATATCGCAAGCCCTTGAAGCCAAAAAGAACTCAGTGTCCTGCTATTTAATAATTACTAGTAAGTACTTAAGTATCGCATCGACCTAACGCGGAACTACCCTGAAACAGACTTCAAATATGAAGGGATCACATAAGAGCAAAGTAAGGGCACCCCGACGGATTTACTAACGTCTGGTGAGGTGATTCTGTAAAAAGCTCGAGAGGCGCCCATTCGGTGTCTGTGGACCTACGATTAGGTATTATTATGTTGAAGAGGTCTTAGTCACCATCGGCTGGGACAGGACTAACGAAAATAAAGGACTACTGAAATCGATAGCCAATAAGCTGCAGGTCACGACGGGCAAGAAATTGAGAGAAAATTGTCACCTGTCGTCAACCAGACGACAAGCCAACGGCAACAGTCTACGGAAAACCTATGAACACCCTGCAGATGCACAGTTAGAACAGCCAACGTCCGCTGAAACACTGATAAAGCTGTGTATGCGTGCTAAATTAGCGGGTGGAAACCGGGTAGATCACGCTAGCCGTCAAACTGGAAGGTGAAGCCTGCTTCAGAAATCTTCAGAGTCAATAGTTACCAGCAAGCATTTGTCAAGAAGAGTCGAATGCTCCAAAAGAGACGATACGCAAAGGGAAATCAGCCGAAATAATGACCGAGCATTCCGTACATAAAGGGGTTCTTTGAAGCCACGCTTCTCGAAATAGGAGCTGCTCGCAGGCCTGATGTAACAGTCCACCGGTAAGTTATACGTTCAAATTACCCTATTCCCTGAGCAGGTATTGGCCATTGTC